TTCGGCGAAAAGTAATAGAATGCTACCAAATACTTCGTTCTTGCTTTCCAGAATAAGCGTAAAAGGATAAAAATCGCACAAAAGTGCCCTCGCTTCGAACACGGATCATAGAAGGTCACGCAGTGTACTAAGTAAACGCAGTATGTGTCAGATAACGCAAATAGAAATCACTTCAAAAAGCACATGCAGAGTTTCTTCGCGCTCATCTAAAACAAAATGAAAAACCTGGTCCTCAACGATGTCCACCACTTCACCAAGGCCACTGTTTTCAATCCAGCCGAACTCATGAACATTTTCTCGGAAAGTCCACAATTTCTGGAACGTCTTCGTCAGTTCCAGTAGCATCGAAGTCTGAAAAATTGCACGCAGAGATGATGGTAAAACAGCAACGAATGAATAACACTGTTTGACGAAATCTCAAAAGTTAGATGCGGCGCCTACCTTATATCTATCAATTTTGCAAAGAGCGAACGCCAACAGAAACCCAAATTCGCTGCACATTACCAACCCAGGTTCACTCTAGAAATTCAACTATTAGTTCTAAATATCAAAATTGCGGGAGGTACTAAGGCAAAGAGCAAATTTTACAACATCATTAACAAACAATAGTAGGAACAATGTAATATTTATTTCCACTGGTCCTCTTTCACAAGTAATGTGCTGATCCCAGCACTTCATTCTTTCGATTCGCTCCCTTATATCCACCAACACATGAAGGTCTTTGAACTTATAATGTGGGTTCGGCCGCTGTTTGAGGCTTTTCATTGGTTATGAGTGCCGTAAAGTGCTGAATGAGTCGATTCTTCCTAAGGTCGTGAGATAGCCATGTTTGAAGCAGACCTACGTGGATTAGTTGTTGTGAACTTTTATGAGAAAGGTCTGGTGCCGATTTTCCAGCTTCGAAAGGTTGAAAAACATGGTGAACCACTGGGTGGGTGGAAACAGCACCGCTCTCGAGGTGAACGACACCACCCCCCGCTACCCGTAACTAGCACTAGTAATAATAATATTAGTAATAGTAATAATGTCCTACCTTGCACAAGTTAACACACGTTTTTCCTACATTTTGATGATCCCGTGCCACTTTGGCCATCTCATGGACACATGACATCAAGCCGACAACAGGTGCAACACCACGTTTCTTGAGCCAAGCCAAAATCACTTCTCTTAGCACCCGCAACAACCTGTTAAAACCTTATGTTAGAGTCAGTTCACAAAAACCATACCGCCTCGATATAACAGCTTGTAAGAGCTGGAAACATCATTAGGAAATAGCCACTGTAATAAAACTAGACATCTTTAGTTCCTACCATGAAACAGTTAAAAGCATAGAACACCTAGAGTTGACAACATGCTTAAGATATTGAGATTGTCGGTTTAGGTAACCAATTTCTTAATACCAGCAAACCAACCTGACCAGAGACAACGGTAAGCTCGACAAAGTAATGAAAAATTAGAAAGTCGGTTTCGAAATGTTACTACGAAATAAAAAATTAGAGTTTGAGCAATTCCTCCCTCCTACTACATTATCACGGAGGTCTTTCACATGAGGAATCCCTAGCCGCTTAGTCTCTAGGCCACGTAGCGCGTCATCACATGACCAATAGTGGGTTAATCGCGGACCAAAAGCGAACGTATGTTTCCTTGAGACGCATGTGGATCTAGGGGATGGACCCTCTTTCTACTTCGTCGATTTGGCGCATACTTTCTGTATTTGCTAGGCGTATTCATGAATGCGTGTGTGGGTGCGTCCTCGCTTATGCGGATGGTATTCTACGAGTCAATTCAGCCAAAGTCTGCAATCAAGTGACAGGGACGTATATGGGAGGCGGTTAGAAGCGGCCTCCGACAAGTAAGCTCCACGTCCACTCTGGAAGAGACTGGCAACCTACGCATGAGTATACCTAGCCCCCACGTTCAGGGTCCAACAAACTATACGTGGGTATCAAAAAGCTAAGAGTAAGACAAACGTGCCTCATTCCCCTAACCACGAAAGAGACCCCAATTCGGTAGCGTTGGGTAGGATGAGTACGAAAAGGTTGCTAAAATCCCAAGGACAATGAAAGCTGCCTCGATCGCAATGAAATAAGGTGACGACCTGTACCTAGTCTGTCGATGAACATCGATTCATTCGAACAACTTATAACACGAATCGGACTTTTAGGATTAAAAAGATGTAGTTCAATACCGGTTTGACAATTTCGTCGTTTACGCGCTGATATCAAGCTACGACGAAGAAGTCGAAGCGTTCTCTATGGACTTGGACAAGCTCTACACAGAAGACCATACATTCTTCAAGGTAATCACTGGAGAGTTTAGCCTCAAGATTGGACCAAGAAGAACGCCTGAAGAACGTCACACTGAGACCCACGGATTAGAATCGAACCAAGAGGGTGAGCGGCTATCTGAGTTTATCATGGCGACCAAAACCATCCATGGTAACTCGCAATTCCAGAAACCCTACCCTCAGCGCTGGACGTGGGAGTCTCCCAATGGAGAGTACCATAACGAAGTAGACCACATCATAGTAAATAGAAGGTTTTACCTAACCGATGTCGCTGTTGTCCCAAAATTCTACACGGGATCAGACTGTCGTTTCCTTCACGCAAGATTGTTTTTCGCGGAAAGGAGAGAAAGGCACTAAATTCAAAAACCGTAGTCCCAAAACCACCATAAAGTGAGACTTAGTCAATTCAATAGTCAGCTGTTGGGAAGATGCCGTTGTCGATAACATCGACGAAGAATACGATTGGCTCATTCAACATCTTCACCTTAGCGCTATGAAAGCTGAGAGCTCGTAAGTCACCAAGAGAGATCTGTCTCCAGAAACTCTCGAGCTGATACACCAGTGTGGAATCGCACGAGCTGCAGGCAACCGCGAACTAATCGTCCGAACTTGCAAAACAACGCAGACAGTTGATAAAGGAAGATCATAAAACAAGAAGGGCAGCAATAATGGTGGAAGCTGCAGAGGCTGTGAAAAGTATTAGCAAAGCGCAACGAGGCTTCGCCAGTTACAAGACCAAGATGATTGCACTCCGACGCCCAGACGGAACAGTTACTGCGTCCAGAAAGGTAATGGAGAAAATCATTCTTGAATACTACTCAGTTGTCTTCGATAGCCAAGTTCATCTTCCGTCATATTAAATTAAGGAGGATGAATATGTCGTAACACTGGTTCTCGTTTCCGAAATCCGACATGCCATTTCGTCGCTGAAAAATGGAACAGCACCAGGTTTTGACAGGATAAGATCTGAACACCTGAGGAACCTTCAGCCCATCCTCATAAACACATTGGCTCGGCTTTCCACACGTTACTTGTCTAAATGCAAGATCCCTACTCACTGAAAGACCTGCAAGACTGTGTTATTGTTCAAGAAGGATGACTTCCACGATATCTTCAACTATCGCCCAATCTGCTTGCTGCCTGCCGCCTACAAGCTTTTCATTCCAGTCATCATAAACAGGACCGACAGAACAGTGGACGAAGAGCAGTCATGTGAGCAAGCAGGGTTTCGAAAAGGATTTAGTGCGATGGACCACATCGACAAAACGAGACTCATAGAAGTATCGCGAGACCGTTGCTCCACTTTTATCGATTTAAAGAAGGCCTTTGACTCAATTGAGATAGAAGCAGTCACGGAGGCCCTTGATAGTCAGGGAGTCCATAAGCACATAAAGATTCTTCGTGAATTCTGCACAAAAATTTCGCAACCAAGATATCACCATTCTACAACACTATTAACATCGACATCGAAAGAGGAGTTAGTTAAGCAAGGCGATACCCATCTCGGAAAAATTACTCACCACCACCCTCTAGAACGTCATGCGAATATTAGAATGGGACAGCATGACAGTGAAAATCGATGGATGGCAATTATGCCATCTTCGCTTTGCTGATGAAATGAATGCTTGTCAACTTTGATAAAACCTGTGAAAAAATTGGTCTTCGACTAAATCTCACAAAAACGTTCTCCGGATGCTCCAGTTATGTCTATCTAGACCAAGAAATCACCATGATGAAGGAGTGAGACCCAGAGTAGAGCAGAACGAAAAGAGAAGCTTGAAGAGCTTTCTAGGGCATCGAGGATGTAGTGAGGAGAACAAAGAATTCTCAACTCTGTGCCCTTTTCGACGCAATGATATTTTCTGCCCTAACATATGCGCCAGAAACCTGGTTGCTGCATAAGCGCTCCGGCCTGCGTCAACGATCAGAAATCAAATATGCCGTTCTACACACCAAACAGTCGATGATAAGGTGTGCCAGACATGTAAACCGTACGAATGACATCTGATGGAGAAGAGCCGTTAGTATCTGGTTTCCTGGGAATGTCAAAGGCACTGCAGGAGGACCACCGACCCCATGGGTCAGGGTTCTTCATGAAAAGTCTAGAAGAAAGATATGATGCTCAACGAGTCTCTAGAGCGAGCAAAACTCAATGGCCTACCCTCGCATGCGAAAGGAAAAAATGGAAGATTTACTGGCGCCCGCTCGAGTCACTCGACAATCAACGGAACTAAAGGTGATACAAGTGATTGTACATTACGAAGTTAGAAACAAGGATGTGCATATAATCGGAATATCTTCAGTTTACTAATTAAACGCACCTTTTGTTGTTAAGAACTCGAAGCAAATTGACGCATTTTGATGTCACTGCTGGACGTTGCTCAACATCTAGAAGATCCTCTAGAGCACGTTCATCCAGATACTTCTCTATTATATCATCCATGGATAAACTTCTAAACAATACAGACTTAGTTACAAAAGAACTTATCAGTACATACACCTACAGTTACATTCCTACAACAGTCACTCAAGCAGTGAAAGAGTTCGACATTTCCACTCAGGAGCTCAATCAAAACGACGCAGCTAAATGGCCTATTCGTGACTACGTGCTCATGAATGTAACTAAAACAAAGGGTGATATAGAAATAGGAAAAAAAGGAACTGTTCCTGTTTCATAAACCATAGAAGCCAGCTACATGGTGCACATATAATACCAGTGTAGTCAAACTGTACCCGCTCGTACTACGTGATGAATAACGGGGAAACATGTGATGACGTATTACACACCGTCGCTAAAGGAGAAACGGTAAGTCCTGAGGGATGCGTCATGTATTTGACATCACAAGGCATCGTTGGAGGTGACTGAATGCATATCTGTTCTTTACGATAACTCGCGGTGACCTACCGATATATCGAGCCAGTGCTGCAATCATCCCAGACAAGTTTGGTACCAATTTGCCGAACCCGGAGGGGTGAAGGGCTTGATGCGCCAGAGGCGCGCGAATCGATCCCATGTGTATTGCAGGGCAACAAGAACCACTAGGCCACAAGCACCCTTCTTCATTAACTGTGAATAAACTCACTGCACTATCGTCACCACGGCCCCAAACGATTCAAAAGTAGTAGTTCGTTTCATCCATTCGTAGACCAGATTACGCACAAACGTCGCACTGGTCACAATGTTATCGTCCTTNCTTTACAATCTGCAAAAACTCGGAGGTAAAACTAGTAGACTATGATTTAAAAAAAGTGACGACAAAATGAAACTCTTATGTACATACTTCCTCATTCTTTAGAAGCTGCTTTAGTAAAACAAGTGAGCAATCGGTCCATCTGAAATTTGATGTACTATTCTATAAAGGGTGGTAACTAATATAGCAAAGAACATGGGGCTATCGAAAACCTTTCACGCCTTTTTTAAAGGAACTCTTAAATTCGCAAGCATCTGTTCAGACTATTAAACTCAGCCTTAACGTCGATCACAACCAAATGCTCTCCGTATGATAAAAAACGAAGAAGAAAGGTAATGCCTTCGCAAGTGTTTACTGCCACGATGTTGAGAAGAGGTGTGTCTGCTACCAGTATACGATGTCAAGCAGGATTCTTACCCAGGTAGGTTAGTCAAGACAGAGGAGTCTGATTTTTTATCTCGAAACCTAGCAAAAAATGAATCTGTGCCAGTTATCAGTACTAGTACCAGAAAAATTTGCTCCAAATTAGGATTCTTCCGTTTTCTAATTGATTCAAAAGTGCAGGCGATTACCTACTGTAATAACCTGGGAGTGCCTTAGTAGTCTATTTCGGGATTCCAGCAAAAGTTTGCTCAACTAGTAGACTATAAGCAAAACCGAGACCTTTCTCGAGCGCCGAATTATTCTAGGTTGAGACGGGTTGTAATGTAATTTGTGCAAGTGCGTATTTTATATCTACAGAGTAATACTTATATTGTAAGCGCTTAAATGCTTATAGAGCAACGCAACCCCATTCAACACCGTAATTTGCGAGTGGGATGGGCCCATTCTAAAACTGAATAAAAAACGGACACACAGATGATAAGAAACCCAGGCGCAGGTTCTCACGTCATAAGAAATCTTAGACATTAAGCTTTCAACACTGAAAAAGACTCACCGATTCGAAAGACTGGGGACTGCTAAACTTCCACTATGCGTTTCTAACAACGGTAGAATTTGTTCACTGTCACAAAGTTGTATCTGAAACTGGCCATGTTCCAACAATTGATCGAAGTCTTGGTCAGTAAACGCCGATTTAAACGCAAAAACCTGCTTGACAAACTCGTCATATAGAGTTGACACATATAGACAAATGACTGGTTTTGTGCTGAGCACCTCAAGTGCTAGACGAAGACCTGCTATCCGACATGATACACGATCTTCTTCATCAAGAAGAGACGTCAGCTGACACCTGATAAAGGATACTTCCATAATACCCTATCACGTGCTTCATCCTTTGATTACAGTGATGCTAACAGCTAAATCTATAAATAAATTAACATTGAAATAATCAATTGTGCCCGATTACTGAAAAAAACAGGCAAATTCACCCATTCAGTATTGGCTATCTATAGAAATACCTGTGAAAAAATCTACTAAGATANATTACTGAAAAAAACAGGCAAATTCACCCATTCAGTATTGGCTATCTATAGAAATACCTGTGAAAAAATCTACTAAGATACTTCGATGGCCCATCTTCACATCATGTGCAGGCCCCAACTTTTCCATTCTAATGCGTCTTTTTACAACCTTCATTAACAGAGGCGTTCGACTTCCTATGCAGACTCGGACAGAGCTTTACAAACTGTCATACTCTCTCTTCAGAGACATTTTAAACCTTGGTTGAGCTAGTTCTTCCTGGAATCCTGAGGTAGCCATGCAAGGGTGTTCATAAGTTATCAACTCAATCAGTGGTCGAAGTAAAATCAGCTATGATGCATATGAATCCGACTTTTATGGCTCATGGTTTTAAGATCACAGGATAAATGAACGAGTGCACGCGATGTGAAGACAGGTCATCCTAATATATACGTAAGTATTACTGTAATGCTTACCATGAACTATAAAAATCCGTGAGCTTTGCTGCTTTATCCTTACCGACCGTTGATCGAAGAAAATTAAACACACGACCCTATAAGTTGAATAGTACGGTGAACAAAAATAAGAAATAACAGAATGATAACAAAGATATTAAGGGAATAAGTCTAAGGAGGATATACTTGACGACGTTCATCGGCAACCTGTCGCACGACAACCTTGATATTAGCGACAAATGTCTCTTCTTGTCCACTTTTTCGTTTCGATGCTAACTAAACACGTAGTTACAGTTGCAAACTGAAATCTGACGACAAAGTACAACGGAGACAATATCTGAACTAAGCGAATAACACTGTATCTCCAAGAAAATCAACAATACGGATAAAAAACGATAAAGCTCTCGGCGGTGATCAATCTCTAAGGGATGCACCAGGCGTTCGACTTCGTTAAACATCGTTGAAAGTGACTGAATGCATATCTAGCCTTTAAAATGACTCATGGTGGCCCAGGATGTATGGAACCAGTGCTGCCATCCTCCCAGAGAAGTATAGTTCTGATTTGCCGACCCCGGAGGGATGGAGGGCTTGGTGAGCCACGGGCGCGAGGATCGATTCCACGTGTATTGTAGGGCGCCTCTGACCACCGCGCTACACGCGCCCTTCACAATATGGATAAGGGACAGAATTAAAAAATGAAGGATAAAACTACTGGTTGTATGATAAAACTGGTGAGCAGTTCTAGTGAAATATCTCTTCACATTCATGTTGCATTTACAAAGAAAGAGATGGCTGAAGTGAGTTAGAAGTTTGAAGAAGGGTAACTGGTTTGACGGCTGCTCACTTACAGTGCGGCAAACATTCGAGATGTTTTAAACAAAACGTGTTTGTGCATGTAGCGCAATTATTTGGCGATAAAGCTGATTTGGGCTTCCCAGGTCAATCCCGTTGATGGGTGATTGCTGATGACACTGGCAGATCGAGAACTAGCCGACAGAAATGCGAAACGAAGGAGACGCATGGTGTGGACGTGAACGCGTTAGCCCGCGAAAGGGGTAATAGCGCGTTCGTTCCCTGCCGCACAGACCTGTGCTCCGAAGTTTTGCAAATATCTCAGGACCATTTTTGTTCTATCACACATCATCTCCTGCCATGAGAAACTGTAATAAGCAGTAAATAAAAAGTTAACATACTACAATGATTTCTTTAGTTCACTAGCTACATTTTTGCTAGGGCAGGGCAACTTTCCCATGTGTTCAGCTATATCTTTTTTAAAGATATTTTATGAGTACAAAATTTTCAATGCGCTGAAAAGATTAACGGAAACTAAAAAACTCTACAACTACTATAGCTGCTTACCTTTTTCCCATGTTCAATGAATTTATCCACGAAGGTATCAATGCTAACCTAAAAAAAATCACATTTTCATAAACTAGATGGAACGAATCCTACATTGGTTTTAAGAATTCTTCCAGAAAAGTTTCGCAAGCTGTAGGAAGCTCGATATTTCCATATGGAATAGTAAACACATACGACGATCTAGCAGCCTCTTGAGGTAAATGTGGCTACCTGATCGCCAGAAACGTTTAAAAAGGTTGTTAGAGGGTCAGCAATAAGCTCTGATGCGCAATAGGAAGGAATCAAATTTAGTGGTGCCAGATCCGATGACTTGAAGATAAAGGCGACAAATACGGGTGAGTACCACCAATATGACACTACTACCCTCTCACCGTCGTACTTTGAACTAATATGTAAAACGAAACCAGAACGATGTTAAATGCTTAAAAGATCAAGAATCTCACAAACAGCCACTAATACACTCCCGCTGTTCCATTAGCTGAAGCAGTAACAACGTCTATGGTTTGTACGATGAATGATAAACATTGGCTTTAACTCCGCATCTATGATCGTCACTTCATTATCAGTATTCCAGACCAATAAGCCGACCTCAATCGTGAATCACGCCCACCTTATTTCCACTATTCTGGGTTCCAAACTGCGTTCCGGTGGAAAGCTGAGACGAAGATGAATATTGAGAGTGTCGATCCTGCATAATCTAATTTGCTCAGAAGCTTGAATCCAGTTCTAGTAGTCTAACAACGCCACTGAAACACACATCTGTAATGGATCAATTAAAGAGTGCACCGTCCAAATACTGGTATGCTAACAGCAGCTCAACATAAAAACTGGTTTGGAGCTTTGTAACCGATTTTTTTACACAATTTTGAAACCTAAGCGCAAATGTCTACACTGGTTATGGAACACGAAGTCACGGTACCACACAGTGCCTTAACATAGAAATGTACTTTATCCAAAAAATCTAGACATCACCCAACATAGCAAAAAAGTAGTATTAAATTCGGAAAAACTCGCAGCTAGTAAGTGGAATATGTACGGAAACTGCTGGGAAAGCGATCAGTGAAGAGTTTCTGTTCCAACTTTCTGCGTTTCTGTCCGACTTTCAATTTTATTTGTAGTTGTAACTTTCTTTAAACCATGCCACCTCACCACGTCGAATGCACACTATAGCCTCCATGGAGTTCTGGACAAATGATTGAATTGACACGAAAAAAGTTAAAGTTAAAGCTCCCGGCGTTGATCAATCCCTGAGAGATACGCCATATATTCGACCTTATTAAACATCGTTTGGAAATGATTGGATGCATACCTGAAATTTACAATAACTCGAGGTGGGTGGCCTACCGATGTATCAAGCCAGTGCTGTTGTCCTCTTAGACAGGTCTGACACCAATCTGCCGACCTCGGAGCGATAGAAGGTGACGCGGGGCAGCGGCTTGAGAATCAATCATATGTGTATTACATAGCGCTTCCGACCACTGCACCACACACACCGTTGAAGAGACATTGTAGTCCCCAGATTCAGTTTAATGGGTTCCAGAATTTTCCTAAGCCACTATACATATCCACTTGATAGCTAACAGAAAGTAAATCAAAGTTATACGGTGGAAACAGAAAGACCCTCCTTAACACTTCATGATTTACAAAAGACCTTTTCTCAGAAAAATCTATTGATCGGTAAACTGACTAAAATCTACCGCCACTTCATTTTGATGGCTACAGTTATCATATAGAAACTATGGATGTGAAATAGCAGAGTCAACACAAAGTGCTACAACACTTCCAAACAGCAACAGCAAAGCATCTGCAACATGGGTCATAGTTACATACAGAAAATAGAGCACACTTACACTTATCCATGCGGATAGAACGACAGGGCAATGTCTTCTCTACAACGCTGTCATGTCTGAAACCCCTCAAGCCCTCTAGTAATTAAGAAACACTCTTCTATTGTCAAAAGACCAGAAAGTGCACATCCGTCAACATCTGCCTGTATTCTACTGGGCGATTCATGACAAACCGCGCCGCTGCGGAATGCGTTAAAACAAAATTAGACAGCAATAAAAAACAGACCCTAACCTGTACACATTTCAGACCTTCTCAACACACTTATTGACTATTTATATCAGAGACCATAACTTACATGTACACAGCAGTACTGCAGCATGGTAAAATTCACATGACATTGCACGTTATAGTAGAACTACAATAGTAGCTAGAAAACCAATGCAGAACCTGACGAGTTCTACACAAAAAGACAAGAATTACGGCCCACTCAAAATGAGGTTTCTTTCAGAAACTACCGAGCAATTAATTACGTAGTTAACAGAAAACAATAAGCCCAAAAAAATAATCACGCATGCTACGATAGATTAAAATCCTTGCATATTAGGTCACGAAGAATTCTCCGAAGATATCCATGTCCAATTCGTCTTGAATACCAATCGCATTGTGAATTGCTGGTGCAGAAACAATTTCTCCTGGTGGGGCATGCGTAGCAACCTAAAAAAAGTGATGAGTGAAAAAGAAAAGCTTTTTTGTATCTCTAGGTTCAAAGCATTCCATACGGAATTCTAGCAATCATAAAAACTTTTATTTGCTAATTTTAATCACCTGATCATCTCGTCTAAGCAAGCATTGTCATAGAACAACATTGCCTCAAATTAGACAATAATACCACTGTTAAAGAAAGTAAACCTTACAAGAAAAAACGGCTGGATTATCCGTCTCCAGACTGTGCTAAAATGGGCGAATAATCGCTTACAAAATATATGTACCTGGGTGGTCAGCTGCCGCTGAATATTTCCTGCTAGTTGAGTCTCCACAAGCGATGGCGTCGGAACGTTCGTCAACGTAATCGGCGGCGGTTGTGAGAGTCGTTTGTGTTGGAGTCGGGCCAAATCCAGAACTGCACGTCCACTCATATCAAGTTGTGACTAAAAGTAACCCCTACACCTACGAAAAGTTGTAAAAATTCTATATGAAATATAGAGAAGGGACAGGTGATGGTTATTGAAAGTGAAAGTCACTAAGATTATAACGCTTGTTAATCTCTCGATGTCACTGTCACAAATCCATTTGATAATTTACAAATTTCATGAAAACAATTTCATAGGATATCTAACACGTCTACCTGAAGATCAGTTGGCTTGCCAATCGCGAAATTTTCTCGAATTTCTTGGACAAAAGAGACGTCAACTCCAAGATTCTCCAATGATTCAACTTCATCAAGCAGCTCCCCAATATCCTCGACATCTTTTATATTCGTGTCCACCTGAACTAGAAAATTACTATCTGAAAATTACAACACGAGGTCCCAACACATATTTGCAACGACATGCAATGATCTAAAGTTACTGAGACAGTTTAGCCTTTCAATTGCTAAAAAAAATATTCAACTCACAGCAAGCTTTACTAGTTTAATTAAAGACCAAAATCTACAGTTATCTACAGCAAAAGCCTTCCTATCCTACTAACATGAAATCTTGATAAACCAGAAACTTGTACACTTTGCCTCTAATGATGAAACGGAAACGCCCTAACGCGGCTATCACAGGATTCCAAGGAGAATGGACTCGATCAACGGTCAGCGACATTCTTAAAGAAGACGAAAAGACCCCGAAGTAGTAGCCCAACCAACGCGCAAAAAATTTTATCAACGAAACCCGTTTTTCGATAACCGTCGATTACTCCTGCATAATAACAGTACCTCAGAGCTGGACGATTTACTAAATCGAGAGAAGAAACTTTGCTGTTACCTCAATGGCATGAGAAACATTATGTAGCCGCTTTTCCAATATTTAACTCATTTAGAAGACGATCTCTCTAATTTTTAAAAATTGGGAACGAAATTTAAATATCGAAAATCTCACACATAAGCGCTGCAGTCGCAAAAACCAATAACACATTGGAGAATAAAGTTAGGTCCTACTGAATGAAATTCTGCCTGCATACTCTCATTTTCAAAATAGGAGCCTCAACAAAAAAAGCAAAAAAATTGTGCATTTTGAGCTTCAAAGAACAAGAATTTCATCTCGGTATAAGGTAATGAAGAACCCTTAAAAACCTGCACCAGGTTTGCAAGAAACTCTGAATTCTGCGGGCACCTTATTTAAATTAATAGGATCCACTATAAGGTAAGATATGTTCGCGTAAATTTGACATCGCCCATTATTTTCGTATCGTTCACATTTAAGTCAAAGCATATCACTGCAAAAGTATAAATTAAATAGCAACTACTTATCTCATTTCTTTCCTTCAATTCAGCCATTGCTCGCGAATGTTCCCCATCAGTTAATGTATCTAAAAGATCGTCCACTACCTACAATACATCATATAAACAAGTAACCTTTGGTATAACGGAAGTCAAATACTTCTAACCTTTATAAAATGAGCCCCAGCGTCGCTAACCATATGTCTCAGTGACATGACATCAGACACAGTGTTTCGATCACCATACGTCCTGAATGCTAACCTTTGAAATAATTAGCTTCATTGACGCCCTCTAGTGTCCTCTTAAAATGAGTATTGTACAACTGGAATATCTTAAGCTTCAGAAGGCCACCTGTCCACCCAAAAAATTTCGATACAACTACTAATTCAAGGCGAGAGAACCTATATTGTCTAAAAGAAGACACTAACAACAGCGATAAACTTCATTTAGACAGATGCAAATGAAAATTAAACCCAATTGCAACTTCAAAGAATTTCACCTCTTTCATCAGATATACTAAGAGAAACACTACCCACCTAAGGAGAAGATCTGAGTCTTCTTTTGTTAGTGTGGCCCAAGTTGAGTCATACTGGGGGGCAAATGAGGCGAATGGTCCATAGTTAAGATACGTTATCATAGATTGACCGGATAACCTGCAAGCGGAGATTCAAAGTAAAAGAGATTATGGAACTAGTGTAGCACAACTGCTCAGTGTTTTTGTAGACCTAAGACCATTCGTAGACATGCAACCCTCAATGCGTCACAATTCACCTGTGATCCCCAAGACTCAGCATACCAGGTGTGCCTTCTTCTAGTGGTCCTATAATATCTCCAAGTTTTAGACCCTTTTTCTCTCCCTCACCAATCACATTCAAAACGGTTGCTCCATCCTAAAAGCAAAAAATAAAATAGTAATATTTTCCTTAATGTAACACATTCAAGGACTGTGATTGGTAATCCACTACAAAAGTAATGACATAAAGTAACAACGATGAAAATGAGCAAGTTTTAAGTACATGGAACAATCTTCAAACGCGCCTTATTATCCAAGAACGCTAATTTTGCGTTCGGTAATCGAACTGACAACCTCGACCGAGTTTCAGGATCTGCAGCAATTAAACAATCCTCCCCGGTCATGTCATCTACCAAGGCCTGACGTCGACGATCCTCCTGTTTAACTGTTGTCACCACTAACGGAACAAGACCTGCTTTTTCTAGTGGTACCTGTAAAGAAGAAGTTTCTAAATAAATCAGAGCCTTCGAGTTTCGTCCGAATACATGGAAAGACCTGATTGGCAAATGGAAGTGTATGGAAGATGTAGCGGAGATACTGCTCGGAGAAATAGTATTTGACAACGGCTGACAGCCGTGTAGCTGCTAGATGGTAAACCTACAACAAAAAAAATCAAAACGAGCGTTAACATAGGTATTACATTACTGAAAAAGCTCACCGTGTTGGGATTATTATATGTCAAGGCGTTTGACACAATTAACTCTGCATCTGTTTTCATCTCGGTAATTGTCTGATATGCATCATCTTCAATTTTCTGTCTAAATACATATAGATATACACACATATACATATTATATATATTATACTATATTATTATATTATACAAGGGAGCGTATGGGGCAGTGGTTGGAGGCGCCAATGTGACACACATGTGGAATCGATCCCCGCGCCTATGGCCCACCAAGCCTTCCATCCCTCCAGGATCGGCAAAATAGTATCAGACTTATTTTGGAGGATAGCAGCACTGGCTCGATAAATTGGAGGGCCATCGCGAGTCATTGTAAGGGCCAGATATGAATTCAGTCATCTCTAACGATGCTTAATTAAAGTCGAATGTACGGCGCTACCCTCGGGGATTGATCAATGCCGACAGCTTTATCCCTTTATTCTTTTAAGAACCTTCTTTAGCTTGCAATTTGACCATTTTTAATTACTACTAAAATATCGTAGCTGTTTTTCATATGTCGGGGAATGGATACAGTTTTTAATCGGCCGCTGCTTGAGGACTTTGTCTTCTTTAAGAATACTATAGGATACTGGTCGAGTCGATATTAATCTTGATGAACGAAAAATTAGGGACCCAGTTGTACTGGAAGACAGCGTATAGGTGGGGATCGAATTCAACAACACCGTGCGGAAGCAATGGAATCAGGTTCCACCATCTCGAACGACATTTAAGCATAAAATAAAATCAAGAAAGCGATAAGAAACAAACTAACAAAGGTAACCCGTATTTTGACAAAAAAGCTTACCGCATCTTCGAGAAATCCATTGGCTGGGATATAATATTATGATAGTCAGAAGCCATTGATGAGGTCACCGGAAACGCAAAATACTCTTCTGGATCTTTCAACATAATTTTCCGCAGAAGGTGGTCAGCCATTAGTTGTAATGGTGAATAACTGAAAAAAATAAAGGAAACTTATTACAACACGTAGAAGGCTAAAAAAGTGGAAAAGCTCATATTTAAAATGGTTTAACATACCTATTAACTGAAGGTGTTTTCACTATTGGTTCAGACGCTTCAGCAGGTGGTGATGCCTTCTTTTCCTCTGGTTCCGCTGAAGCAGCTTTAGCTGACGGTTCTTCAAGAAGACCAGCCTTACGAAGTTTCTCTCTCTCCTTCTCTCGCTGCTTCTTCCGAGCAGCATAATCGGTCAGATGAACACGTCGGCGCTAAAAACAAACTAATCTGTTGACCACGATCAAGCAGATTCTCCACTAAACTTCATTTTAACGCGCGAATCCGTTCCTTAAGGTCATAAGTCAAATCACAGTAGTAGTGAATTTCATGAAAATGTCAAAGTGAAACTGATTTTGTTATCTAGGATTTAGATAACAGATAAGTGATAAACCGTTCGATACTGATCTACCCTCACAGAGACGCCAAGAAATCGACTCAGTTGAGTAACATATAGATAGTTCAATGCAAATTTGGTCTATACTGACTTCCCAAAGCTTACCGAAGCGTTGGTACGGTATTTCTGCTCCTAAAGCAAGCGCATCACTAACATTTGCTAGTTGCATATACTTTGGAACTCATCAGAAAGAGACGCTGGACCAAATTAACGACCACGTACATCGCATTACGCCTTTGACCATTGCGCTACACCCGTCCTCCCAATGAAAACATACATTTGATAATTCGACGTTTTTCTTCAATAAGTAGACACGAGGTTGTTATTATAGAATTTATTAGGATACAGTAGCTGATGTTTCGGCGGCTTCGCCTTCTTGAATTCCGCTTTTAAACCTTTTTCAAAACCAATTCCCACCACCAAATGAAGGACACATCACTGACAACACCGAGTATAAACTGCCTCAACAAAATTGGTGCCGATTAATAATGAATGTAAAGCTGAGTGATTTCAGCTACCATAAAACACCTCAAATCTTCACGAAAATCACCAAAACCCAGCTTTAACACTTGGAAACCAAATCTGTTTTTTTCAAAAACTGCCCACAAGACAAGAATACTTCGAGTTTCATAGAATCAGACCAACGTAGTTCGCTAAGAAAACTCCCATCCTATTGGGAAAATATGTGCATTCTAGTAGTTTCCACATTAATTAATAAAGCTTGCTATTAGCTGAGATACACTGACTCAAGCTTATAGCGGTCACTAATTTCGTGGCACATGTGAGGAGATCAATCCATGTCGAAGTCTAGGCGTTAAAATTGAAAAATAAAGGAAAAATTCGACGACGTAAATCAGTACTTTTCTTTTCGGCTTCCCAGGTGTACCGTTTTCAACTGGTTCTTCAGCGCCAGACTCTTCTTCCCCAACATCGCCAGTCTAAAATAAGACAAAACATGAATGTCCCGTTTTCATCAACAATTCCTATGTATTCTATGCAAGTTTTTTTCTGAAGACACAAGAACTCATTAGGAAATACATTTTAATAGACAAGGAAGAATGAACAGTGTTTTACTATTAATTGGTCTCCTAACATAACCAGAAATCATTCAAAATCCAAGCAGTGCCTGTGGAGAAAGCCTAAAAACGCTCTAGCAAAACTATTACTGGAATTGGAAAAAAATCAACTCAACCGCCATCAACGACATTCATGAAGCCGAACCCACACGCAAGTATGAAGATTACAGCGGTCGACGGATGGGTGATAACGAACCAAATGAAAGAAGTGCTCCGATACACATAACTTGTTCCAAAAGTTGGATCATACAGAAAGATTAATAAAACAACTCTTCAGAATAAAGAGCAGAAGTACTATTTCGTACTATGCCTACAACCAATTTCCGGCTTTCTGTGTTTAAGAACATCACTTTAAAAAATCCAGAAAACAGTCGTATACCAAGAGGTGAAGTCTGGCTACTTGGATAGCTGGACACTTCGGGACGACTCGTCTTCAATGGATGTGCGTGCCCCAGCATAATTCCCACTCTTCTCGGAGTACTGTTTGTTTAGCCGTTGTGGTTCCCTGGAGTCACAAGGTCAATATAGCCGAAGTCTGCCTCAGGTCTTCACCACCACAAACAGTCGCCGCCCATGTGGATCAGAGGGAGATTTGCCACCATGCGACTAGTTGGACACTTGGACGGTGGTGGATCCTGGTGTTGGTTTACTCTTAGCTGGGGTTCCTGATGGAAACGCTAGGTTCTTCTTCAGCTTGGCAGACCCTCCTAGGGAGATGGATTCTGCCGCTGTACATCACAGCCCAACACTCAGGAACACCTCCCAGCCACGGTGAGGCGGTAAACCGTTGGTAGGTGAGGAACTATGGCTATCAAACAAGAAATGTGGAAACCAACGAAAACTAATAAATGCTATAAAAGTACAAATGGACCCACTTCGCTATCATGTCGCTCACTACCGCTATCGCGTTCATCGCCGGATTCTTCACCTTGTTTCCTCTTTGCATTATGTCTCAAAGCTGACGCTCTTGGAGCACCTAAAGTTCATTACAACTATGTATGACACAGACAGTACACTTAAAGCATGAGAAACGAACGAGAAGACCGAATCGTTGAGGGTGGTTTCCTAGCGGTCGGTGGTGCTCCGACCATAGAGCGACGCTCCACCCGCTCCTCTTCAACCATGTTCGCTTCTGAAAAACAGCGATAGCGAAGAAGAAGCAAGTTAAAAATGAAAGAGCAAGACCTAAAGGATTTGCAACAAACACTTCGAAGATGATGGACAACTTTAATTCCAGGTCAAAAGGATAGTAAGCAAGAGCTGAATATCATAAAAAACAAACGGGAATTTAAAAGATTAAGAAAAACCCCACGATATTTTAGTAGTAAGTGAAAATGGTCAAACTGCTAACAAAAGAAAGTTCATAGAAGGATAAAAGGATAAAGCCCTCGGCGTTGACCAATCCCTGAGGGATGCGCCATGCACTCGACTTCATCAAGCATCGTTGGACGTCATTAAATGCATAACCTGGTCTTTACAATGACTTGCAGTGGCCTACAGATGTATCGAGCCAGTGCTGCTATCCTCCCAAACAAATCTAGTAACAATTTGCCAACCCCTGAGGGATGGAGGATTTGGTGTGCGCTGGGCGCTAGGACCGGTGTATATTGCAGGGCGCCTCCGACCACTGCGCTACACGCGCCCATTAGAAAGGTTAGTACAAACAGGTATACAATCATATGCTCAGCAATTTGGCTGTATCCTAATTTTAAAATTAAGAAAAACCCTGGAAAGAAATCCCGTGTATGAGCGGACCACCCTGAAGCGTGTCGCCTTCAAATGACCCTCCCGGTAGTATAGGCGTTTTTGATTAGAGCATGTTAGTGTTGTTCGTTGACTTTCCCATGCTCTGAAGAAGACGAAGTCCAGCGAAACCTCAGCTTTTTTCAATGAATGACATATAATTCAGTTTTTCTTGATGACGAAACACGAGATTGGTATTAGAGCATTTAATAATACAAAATATCTGACGTTTCGGCACCTTTGGCTGAGCAGATTGCACGTTACTCTAATTTTACCCGGCTCTGAAGAAGGTGAAACAACGGAAAAGTAAGCCAGAATTATACCAAACAAACGTTGCTGTTGACAACACCTGTTGCCTTTCAAGAAAAGCAGTGAATTATTGCCCAGGTTAAAAGGAAGTCGCTCTCAGGATCTGTACTGTACAGTAGCGACCCCATCTATTTTAGTCAAGAAAACAACGAATTATTCACGAATGACGAGGTTAATAGAAAGTAGAACCCGGGAATCACTGCAAGATGTGCAGCAAGATATTTCCGATCTCCAAGAGAAGCACTGTCACTAAGGAAAAAGATCTTCTATGTTCGACCGAGTCGTTCTGAACTTCATTAAATGAAGACGACTACACGATGTATGCGGACTACCAGAGGAGAGCGACCGAGTAGTGGACATCGAACTGCGAATACTACGTGTCTGCGAAGCAAACAAGACAAGACGTTGGCAAGCTGGAAGTGCGCGACGAAGGAGCACCATTGTGCTCAGTATTTGGAGGACCGGCTTTGCAGGAGAATAGTTGCTGGTTCCCTATCAACGGTTTACCGCCTCATCGTGGCCGGGAGGTGTTCCTGGGTGTTAGGCTGCGATGTGCAGCAGTGAGATCCATCCCCAGCAGAGTCTCCCAAGTTGAAAAGAAGCCCGGCGTTTCCACTAGGAAGCTCCACCAAGCTAGTCGCATGGTAGCAAATCTCCCTCTGATCCACAAAAGTGGCGACTGCCTGTGGTGGTGGCGACTTTGGGCAGACTTTGGCTCGGCTGACCTCTGAACTCCAGGGAACTACAGTGGCTAAACCAGCAGAACTCCAAAAAAGTGGAGATTATGCTTAAGCCCGCACAACCAATGAGGACGGGCCATCCAAGTATTCAAGTAACTGTGTGGGTCAGTGTTGATATGCAACTCTACTAGGTCTAATGTTGAAGTAACTTTGCGGGGAAAGTTCGAAGACCTTTCGAGTAAATCGCATAACACAGCTTCACAAATGTATAGAAATACCACCAATAAAGATCAAATGAGTCACAGTAGGATAGATAACGCGATAGAAAAGTCAACGCTTACCGTGCATGACATGCCATGACGGTGCGCGCTCACTACTAGAATTGGGCCTAAGTTTCTCACCGTCTGAACCCATCTCTAAGGAATCGCCGCGTAGAGCCGCATGTAGTTTGCATGAACTTAAGACTCTGTGATAAATCTGGAGCTCAAGCGTTAAGTAGGAGCGAACAATAAGAACTAGAGCATTAACAGTACCACCGTTTCCTCAAGCGTTCTTTAGAGATCAAAAACCCAATAATGAAGTTGATGGCAAATTTCAGATATTTGAGAACATAACTTTCAAAATCGTTACCGCGCAAAGAAGTTTTTCGCTCCAACCGTAGAGAAAAACAAAAATTTGGTGTACAAGAGGTTCGCGGGTTGATAAGGTTAAAAAACAACAGCATTTTCGTTCCTGATAATGGCGGAATCAGTTAGACGTTGAGATAACTAAAAAGCACCTTGGAGGTGTTTGGCTTTATCGCCTATCCTACGATAAGAAATTCAAAAGCCAGCACCGAAAATTGAATTGAAACTTAGAATTGAGTTACCAAAACGTCCTATCTTAATGACGCTGAGATATCTGCTAAACTCCGAACCGCAGGTGTCCGCGGTGGGGAACGAACGCGTTATTTCCCTTTCCGGGGCTAACGCGTTCACCACCACATCATCCAGATC